TCTTGCTTCATCAAACCACAAAAGCCTGGAAGGAATTCACAAGTTTCCATTTTCTGTGGAAACATAAATAATTTTTTTCCAAGTAACCTGTCCTTAGATTTAGAAGTCAAAGCATTTTTAAAATGTGTAAGTTGGATTAATTTAGCAGCATTTAAAATCAAGGGTATTTTATCAGTTATTTCCTTAGCATTCAAACTATTTAAAAACAACACAATAGCATACAGTATCCAGACTCTTAGTGTACTTTTCATCTTTTGTGGCTTATCTATTTATCTCTTATTATTACTCTATCTTTTACTTTTATTTATTTCTCTGGGACAGGGTTTTTCTGGAAGTCTGCCTGCCTCTGCCTCTTTCAGTAAATCCTACCGGCATGTGCCATCACAACTCTCTATTTCTTTTACCACTATCCTGTTTCTTTTTCTCTCTCAAGCCTATGTAATTTTTTTTTGTTTGTTTTTACGAGACAGGGTTTCTCTGTATTGTTTTGGAGGCTATCGGTCCAGCCCAGCCTCGAACTCACAGAGATCCGCCTGCCTCTGCCTCCCGAGTGCTGGGATTAAAGGCGTGCGCCACCACCGCCCGGCCAAGCCTATGTAATTTTTAAACACACTGTAAACCTTTACAGGTTTTTCTTCATCTGGCTTTACTGTAAATCTTTGGGTTTTTTTGTTTGTTTGTTTGTTTTGTTTTGTTTTTGGCCACCTGTCTTATCTGCTAAAACCGCAGCTATTTAAACTGCATTTTTTCCAAGATGGCGGCCGTAAGTTTACCACACTGGCCATGGAAGTCTCTGCTTGTCTCTAGCAAAACAGAGCCCACCTGAGAAAAATGCTGCTAACAAGAAGCCATGCTTCTCTCTGTTGTTTCTAAAATCTCTTTTAAGCTTTGTCATTCTATGTGGAAATTCATGATCCCACTCCTGACAACCATATGTAATGTGTGGTTTTCCTCGCAAGTCTGGTCCCAGATAACACACAGGACACTATATTAATTATGACGATGTTGGCCGTTTGCTTGGTTTCTTATTGGCTAGCTCTGACTTGATTATTAACCCACAGTTGCTAATATATATTTTATAAGGACTTATCTTTACAAGGACACACTCCTGCCACGCTGTGTGTCTCTGTTGGTGCCAGACCTCAGCTGATGAGTCCTTTGTCCACGTTTGGTTCACTGTCAGCGTCCTGTTTAGCATAGTCTGACACTCTCAAGGACAACCTGCCCCCACACCTTCTGCCCAGTGGAGGAGGCTGAATTAGCTCTCATTGCTATAATGAAATACCTAAGACCCGGCCCTCAGATGAAGAAAAGAAGATTGTTTACCTCACAGCTCTGGAGGTTTAAATGCCCAAACGTTCCTCCGTCTAAAACGTTGGGCATCGCCACCATGCTACTCATGGAAAATTCCCTACTTGGTCTCATTTGATTGGTCTCAGTCAAAATTCAGTGCAGTTCCCCCACTCCCCACCTACTGTATAAAGTTAACTTTAGGCTATAAGAGGTTTAAGAAACACAAAGGAATTTCATATGTAGACTTGGGTCCTATCCCCCAGGTGTTTCATTATATATGCAGATATTCTAAACTCAGAAGTCCCTTCTGCCATGCCCATCTTGGGTGAAAGGCACTCCCTAGTTTGTCCAAATAGCTCCTGCGCTTTCCAGTCATGGGTCCTCAAGTCATCTTCCGTGTCTTCACTTCTGACTACAGCTGTCCTTTCCTCTCAGGGGAAGAGCGTGCCCTCTGTCTGGTGGACATAAAGAAGGTGAAGCAGTCCTTGGCACAATCCCATCTTCCTGCCCAGCCCGACATCTCCCCCAATGTCTTTGAAGCTGTCAAAGGCTGTCACTTGTTTGCTGCTGGCAAGGTAAACTCCCCTTAAGGCCTTTGCTGATGGAATGTTCTAGAAATCAACCCTACTCCTCTTCCAACCAAACTTACTGAGTCAGCCTTGAACATTGGTTTTTTACCCATGACCTCTTGGTGTCCTTTCAGTAGTAAAATAATAAAAGTTTACTCGGGCTTTAACTATGAAGGAAATGTTTGAGGAACATGAAACAGATGGTGAAACTCAGGGCTCCAGGGGTCAAGAGCACATGATTATACAATGAACCTCTTGAAAATAATAATGCAGGGACTGGGGTACGCTATAATCTCAGCACTTGGGAGGCAGAGGCAGGCAGGCCTCTCTGAGTTCCAGTTCAGCCTGGTCTACAGAGCGAGTTTCAGGCCTGCTAAGGGTATATAGTGTGAGTCCCTGTCTCAAAACAAAACAAGGATAATTTGGGGGGGAAAGCAATACAGCATGGAACCTCATGCCTATATTGAATGAAAGTGTGCTTATTACCAGAAACTTACACAATCTAATTTATGGTAGTTATTTGGTGGTCCCTCGGTGCCTGCCAGGGATTGGTTCTGGAACTACCACTTACAACAGCAAAATGCAAAGATGCTCCCATCCGCTTCCTTCCTGGCCTGTCATCCAGAGAGGGCCTCACTAGCTCTGACTGGCCTGGGCCTTGCTCTGTAGACCAGGCTGGACTTGAACCAGAGACCAGCCAGTCTTTGTCTCCTGAATGCTTGGATTAGAAGGTGGGAAAGTTGTCCTCTGACCTTCATCTGTACTTCATGGCATGCGCATAGGCATGTATTGTACATATGTACACACACACACACACATGCTGCAGGTTAGCATGCATGCACGTGTGCACACATGCATACCCATGCACACATACAGTTTAGCAGCAGTTTTATGGAGATGAAATTTCATTTAAAACTTTTTTTTTTTGTATGAGTGTTTTACTAGCATGTACGTCTGTGTACCATATGCCTGATGCCCAAAAAGACCCAATGAGAGTGTCAGAGCATGGCTGTTGGGTACTGCAACCCAGCCCTCTGCAGGAGCAGCCAGTACCTTAACCTTAACTACAGTTTCAGCTTTGGGCTTTATTGTCTGTGTCACAGCATTTTCTTTTTATTTATCATTATCTTATGTCTTTTTTCTTCTGTCATTTAATTTCCTATTATCCTCCCAATTTCTTAGTTAGCTCACTAGGTTTCATAGCATTGTCTAATATAAGCACTTCAAGGCTGTGCACCTTGTATCTTTTGATGTGAACATTTTATTTATTACCATCCCACGTATTTTAAAACTTTTCCTATGAACAGTGATTTACTTAGAAATGTTCATATTAATTTCTAAACTTTAAAAATTGTAAATAATCTTATTTTATTATCTGAAATACTAAAAACTATATGAAATGTGCATATAAATTTAAAGGCCTCATAATGTATTATGTACACAGCATAAATACGCTTGCATTTTCCTCTTTGTTCCTTCAATGCTGACCTTCAGTTTATGACTGTCTGTGCAATGAGTTTCTTTTCACTCTTGCTGAAAGAAAAAAAAAAGCCTGAGTCTAAGAGGTAGAAAAAAGAGTCTTGATGTGCATATCCACAGACCACACTGAAGAACTTTCCCCCCTAGACATAAAGTCTATTCATTATTTCCTCATGTCTGTGACCAAATCCCTGGACAGAAGACACTTAGGGAAGGAAGGGTTTCCCGTGGTTCTCAGTCCCTCACGGCCAGGGAGGCATGGCAGCCAGGAGCTCCTGCTGCTTTGCTTTCAGCTCAGCCTGCACCAGGATAAGCTCTGTCTCCCCTGCGTTGTGATGTCAGAGCATTTGTCACAGTGACAGAAAAGAAGCTATGCCTCTGATAATCTGCCCAGGACAAGGCTCATAACCATGCCCGAGGTGTATGGCCTCAGTGGTTCCAAAACCACCTGACAAAGCTCCCTGCTATCCCCACCCCCTTCCTCATGTCACCCTGTCCTCTTCATTCAGTATAAGGTCAAAAAAGTCTGTCTCCATCCTAAGGCACAAATATACCACCTGTGAGGTGTCACGTGGCCCCTAGACCTCAGGATCCCAACTAAGGCAGTGAGTTTCAGCCAGGGGTGGGTGATTCAGTCCCTGGGGGACATTTGGTAATGTCTATAGACAGTTTTGATTGTCACAACTAGAGGGTGCTGCAGATGTCTAGTGGCCATGGTCATGGTCATGGTCATGGTGCTCCTGTTACTCCAGTGTACAGGCCGTGCCCTGCCTCCCTCTCAGAGAACGATCTGGTCCAAAATGTCACCAGTGCTGAGATCAGACCCTGCTCTAACCATGCCCCTTGTCTAGTTTTGTGCAGAACTATATAGTTCATGCTGATGACAAGTTCTGCCTCCCACTCCCCACCCCCATGGCCTTCTAGATTGAGAACAGCCTCTGCATCTGTGCCGCCATGCCGAGCAAAGTTGTTATCCTCCGCTACAATGACAACCTCAGCAAGTACTGCATCCGGAAGGCAAGTTAATGGATCAGTCATGGTGTCCCGTGTCCATGCTTGTGTCCCGTCTCCCCATGCACGCAGGGGGCTGTGTTGAGGAGAGCATGTATCTATTCCTTTCTGCTGCCTAGAGCGTGAGGTCTGCCTTTCCTGGAAGAGCCTGGAGCCTGTGGCAACCACGGTGGCCCTGTCACTTTCCTTTTGTTTGGGATCTGGAGGGGGATGGCAGAGATGGCTCTTTTTAAGCCGACAGAAGCAGTTTTGTCTTAGAAGGCAGCAGTCCCCAGCAACATCTGCCTGTCTTCCTCAGTGCCTAGAGGTTTCTGGTGATGAGGGACAAGCCAGCACTGGCTCTGTTTTGACTTGTGATCAGGGGTCTGATCCCTCAGGACAGAACGTGTAGGAATAACTGCTACCCTTTAAAACTACCTCACTCTGGAGAAGGTGTCTCCTGTCCCCAGACTAAGTGTGTTGTGTGATGATGAGCCTGACTCATGCCTGGTCATGTCACGATAATGCCCAGAGTGTAAGAAAATGTGAGTTACGTGTGTGGGTGGTGGTTAGTGCACCCGTCTCATTGTAGGCTTGATAGCTGGTGTTTGTTGACCACCCTGTAGCATGTGTACGGGGGTGGGACTGGCTACCTCAATGTTTTCGTTTTCTTTTTTTTAAAGCTTCACGAATTTCTGTGTCATCCTTGCGCAGGGACCATACTAATCTCTGTGTTGTTCCAATTTTAGTATATGTGCTGCCAAAGCAAGCACTACCTCAGTGTTTTCTGATTGGCCAGTGAGACCGTAAGGCTGGGAAGAGCTGACTTTACAATCTGAGGTTAAAACTACCATTGGTTTCCCTACCTTCTCACTGTAGCATCCTGCTTCGCTGTCTCCTCCGCCTTGGTAGGGAACGGATGGATACATTTTTTGTGGCGGTGATGATTAACGTTTGAACTGTTGGTTTCAGGCAAACACCATTCCTGACCATCACTTTAAGAAAGTGCTCTGGTTACCTTTTGTTTTGTTTTTAATGATATTAGGATTGGCCTGGAAATGACTACAAATAATAAGGAGTCAATTAAGATAGAGATGCAGTAATGCTGTGTGAATAATACAGACTTAAATTAGAAACTAGCAAATTAGAAGCTAGCCCAAAGAAGGACACTTAGGCCAGGCATCGCCTTGGCCAGTGCTGATAGTTGGTGTGGCATTCCAGTCTCTGCCTCTGCGAGAATATATTGTCAGTGTTTTGTCTGGAAATGGTGTCTCTCACCCGTTTGGGAGTTGCAGTCTGGCCTGGTTTTCTGAGGCTGCCTGGGCTGGCATAGAGCAAGGGTTATGAGGCAGCAAACAGGTTGTGTGTCACTCTGACAGGCAGAGATGAGACGCTAGTGGCTCAGGCAGAAGCAGCCGCAGAGATGAGGTGTCTGTGTCATCTCTGTCCCTCTGTGCCCCCTCACCTCAGGAGATAGAGACCTCCGAACCGTGCAGCTGCATCCACTTCACCAATTACAGCGTCCTCATTGGAACCAACAAATTCTATGAGATCGACATGAAGCAGTACACGCTGGAGGGTAGGGCTGCCATCTTTACCCCCAACGCCACCTCACAGGGCTCGGGCCTCAAAGAGGAGGGCTCGGGCATCGTTCCTGAAGCCCCGTCTCCCCTGCCTTCACAGAGTTCCTGGACAAGAACGATCACTCTTTGGCCCCTGCTGTGTTTGCATCCTCATCCAACAGCTTCCCTGTCTCCATCGTGCAGGCAAACAGTGCCGGGCAGCGGGAGGAGTACCTTCTATGCTTCCACGGTCAGTCCCCAGCCTGGGCTCGTTGCATTTCCCTTGGTCAGCAGGGTGGGTCCTGCCAAAGGGACAGGGAATGTTTACCCAGCATTGTGGATGCCTTGCGTGGTTCCCCTTCTCCAACCAGGGTAGCAGCCTGGCCACCTGGAAGCTTCCTTCCTGCCCTCCCTGCCATCTTTCTGTCACTCACCTTCTTCCTCTGGTTTGGTTTTTGCTACTTTTTCTCTTGATGTTTTCTTTCTTTTTTAAGTTTTTCTTCTTTTTTTAATCACTGGATGTTTCTTTCCCCCCCCCTTCCTGTCTCTCTGACTGTCTCCCTCTTCCTGTCTCTTTCCTATCTGTCTGTCTATCCATCTCTCCTTCCTCCCTCTCCCCCTTCTTTTCCCATTTCCTTCTTCCCCTTTGCTTGAATCCCCTTGCTAGAATAAATTTGATTAATGAGAAAACCTTACCTAGGAAAATCATCATTTTAATTTAAACTAGGTGATGGTTCTGTGGAGGCCATCTGGCTGTGGCAAAAGTGGTCAGTTGTCCCTGGGGTTTGTTCCTTGTTCTTCCAGCCAATCATATGTGGCCTCTGGCATTAATGTCTCCATGCTTTTGACACCTTACAGAATTCGGGGTGTTCGTGGATTCTTGTGGAAGACGTAGCCGCACAGATGATCTCAAGTGGAGTCGCTTACCTCTGGCCTTTGGTATGTGAGGTGCTAGGTTGGGGTGGAGAATGTAGGGCCGCTGTTTGCTGAAGCCTGTGTATTCTAATGGACTTAAGTGGTATGGGCGACACTTACCTAACCCTGTGTCTGTGAGAATGTGTAAGTCCACTCTCCCAGGCCACAGTCCAAGGAAATGTTTACGGTCCCATGACACAAAGGAGAATATTCCCCATGGATGAGAAGTCATTTTCAAGGCTGTGTAGTATCCCGTAGTGGAGCACACATTAGGTAATCCTGACTAGGCAGAACAGTGAGCTCATACCTAATCATTCTTGAAGTATAAACACTGTGTGAGCATCCCCGGACTGACTCCGAACACTTGGCAGATTGTATCCTTTGAGTGTAAGTCTCTAAATGAATAGTGGTCAAAGAACAAACACACATGCATGCAGGTCCTTACCACAAGACTGTGTGGATGTTCTACAGCACCTTTATGGCCCAAAGGAGACACACACACACACACACACACACACACACACACACACACACACACACACACAGAGTAAACAAATAAATGTAAAAGAAAATACTTTCTTGTTCACCCTTTGCTACCTAATAACCAGTTCTGGACCTAAGTGACTTACATCAGCATGCATGTTGTTGTCCATGACTCTGGGTCCACTCAGCTCTGCCCCTCATGCTATCAGTGGGGATCTATAACAAGAAGAAAGTACAAAAATAGCCTCAGAAATAAGGAGAAACAAGCTTGCTTTTTTCTTTTTGCTGAGGGGTGTGTTGTTGGGGTCACTCACTCAGCTACAGGCCATTGTTCCCCTGTATGTGGACTCTTCCAAGAGTATAAACAGAGGTTTTGTAGCATTTCACATGCACGATATTCTGCCAGTTCAAGCATGCCAACGGGGCTGCCATGTTCAAAGCCCACCACCTGCCTAAGGGCGAAGTCGTGGCTTGCCACTGGAGCAGCAGTGAGGACCAGCTTTCCCCTCCAGGAGAACAGGACCCATCGTGTCTTCTCTTGTTCCAGAGGCACCATCATACAGAGATGAGGATTAAGATGTAACTGGTATGGCTATACACACAGACAGGATGGGGCCTGGAGTTCAAGGCCAACCTGGGCTACATAAGAGACTACAAAATGAAACAAATAATAATAGTAACAATAAAAACACACAGCAATATCTAAATAACTGTCTTTAAAAAACTTTACTTGGTGAAACTGGAGAGATGGCTCAGTAGTTATGAACACTGGCTGCTCTCCCAGAAGACCCTGGTTCGAGTCCCAGCGCCCACATGGCGGTTCACAACTGTCTGTAACTCCAGTTCCAGAGCATCCAACATCCTCTACTGGCCCCTGAGGAAATTAGACACACATGTGCACAGACATCCATGCAGGCAAAACATTTATATACTGGGAGAAAATCTTTAAAATCTTAGAGAGTAACAGTATAAACAGGTCTACAGAAGCCTTACCTCTGTGTCTATCTCCTACTGTCTCCTTCCTGCTGCTCCAGAGGGAAGAACTATGATGAGTTTATCATCTTCCCAGTGTTTGTGCAAATGCACGCATATAAATGTCTCCTTATCTTAAGGGAAGCAGGCTCCTTGCATCCTTCTGAACTTGCCCTGCTGGCTGAGCAGCGCACTGTGGGTAGGTGCAGGGCTTCATGGCGCATCTCTTAACCTGGGCAGAGTTCCATAGGGATGCTGTAATTTCTTAACTAATCCCTCTGATGTAAGTTATTCTGATGCAGTAATGAGCAGCATGGCAGCGACTGAACCCGCACGTGTGCGTGTGTGTGCGTATAAGGTTCTGGTTTCTGGGTCACCGGTCTTATAGCAAACCTTGATTTTCCTGCTTTTGTTCTCCCTCCCCCAACTTTTTTCCCCTCGTTGTGCTCATCCTCCTTGGTGGTCCTTCAGCCTACAGAGAACCCTATCTGTTTGTGACTCACTTCAACTCACTGGAAGTAATTGAGATCCAGGCACGTTCCTCGCTGGGGTAAGCATTTCCGTCTGTGCTGTGAGGACAGGCTTAGGGGCAGGGATGCCATGCAGCAAAGGCAGTAACCAATAATGAATGTTAACTCTTTCTCTTGGAACCCTGCAGGACCCCTGCCCGAGCATATCTGGAAATCCCGAACCCTCGCTACCTGGGCCCTGCAATTTCCTCGGGAGCGATTTACTTGGCTTCCTCATACCAGGACAAGTTAAGGGTCATATGCTGCAAAGGAAACCTTGTGAAGGAATCTGGCACTGACCAGCACCGGGTGTCCTCCACCTCCCGCAGGTACTGAGAGCATCTTCACTTTGCACTCAAGACAAACCACACTTTTGTGTGTGGCATTCTCTCATGAGCGGCACAAGTATTGTGAAGGGCTCCCTGGTCACAGTGGCAGGGAGCATCTGACATGGCCCTGAGGGTGTCCTCAGTGGCTCTGCTGAGAACAGCTCACAACTTCCACTCTGGTGGGTGCTTTGGGGTGTGTCTTTGTCGTGCTAGCTGTTGAGCCCCAGGGAGATGTGTGGCTCTCCTTCGTGATGCTCAAGCCCTATGTGACAGAGGGCCAACTGGAACCCTAGTTCTAGTCCTGATGGGCCTGCAAGCCTAGACTTGGGACCAGGATGAACTTCTCCAAAGAAACAGCAAGAGAATGGCATCAGGAGGTCAGGGAGACAGGATGTATAGGGGAGGTCCAGAGGTGTGAGGCGTGGCCATGGGCCGTGGCTTCCTAGGCTAACTAGAGGTGTATGGTGTGGCCATGGGCTATGGGTTCCTAGGCCACCCAGAGGTATGTGGTGTGGCCCTTAGCCATGGCTTCCTAGATCATATAAGAGAGTTCTATGGAACCTGAGAAGTCTTTAGAGTTTAAAATTTTTGTTTTAAAACTTGTTTTTATTTTTGCATTGGTAATCTAACACAGTGTATAGAACCCAAAGTGCACGAGATGTATAAAGTAGTACAGTCTCCTGGGTTTCTTTTCTTTCCTGTGTTTAAGAAAAAAAATAAAGATTTCTGTATTTTTATTTTTTTGAGACAAGGTCTTACTGTGTAACCTCACATCATCTAGGTCTCACTGAGTTCTCTACTGAGAGCACTGCACACAGTAAGAGCTGCTGGGGTGACCCTTTAGAGTCTAACATTTTTATAGAGCATCCAGTCTCTACCAGTAGCTATGTTTAGAACGTTTTTTTATCACCTCAAGAGTTTGTTTTCCTCTCCTTCAGTGACTGCCTTCGGCACTTTGCACAGTTACTGTTCACCTGTGGGCAGGGGCCTTTCTTATCCAGCA